TTTTGTTACCGAATTAGAGACTGGATTCCCCTTTGTCCCATAAGATGACTGTACTGATGTTCCTGTGTGCGGTGTACCATGCATGTCCTGTATGAGTGGTGGGAAGAGGCCCCTGCCTGGCCTCCCTGCTGCCAGCAGCGGAAATCAATTTGGTGCTCCAATACCTGCCAGATCCCTGCCTTCTCACTTGACTGGCTCACCAACACCCCCCACCCACCCCCACCCCCGCCCTTGTGTTGAGACCAGAAGAAGGGGTCACGCCCTTTATCCTTAGAGGTCAGGTTTACTCAGGAGACTCGGGCTTCCCAAGTTCTGCATGTCTGGGTCATTCTGTGGCCCATTCCTGCCCCTCAGCCCCTGATAGCTGCCGTGTGCCCTATGTAGATGATGGTCCATCTTCAGCAAACTCTCCTGGTCCTTATCCCTTTCTCCAACAGCCCTACCCTCCTTGAGGTCTTGGCTGTGCCCCCCACTTCCCTGCAGACCTTCCTCCTCCTCCTGGAGGAGGTGGTGAGGGCACTTTCCTCAACCCTCATCACCACCTACATATGTCCTCCTCCTTCCCTCTTCGAGACACTCAAGTTCAGACTTCCCTTGTCAGCTGTTCCTGCTCACTCGTTTCTGACATCCCCCAGCCTGGGGTGGCTCACCTCCCATCTCCATCCTGCTCCTCACTCTCCAGTATGCCACATACATGACCCAGCCACCAGCTCTCTCAGGTCCCTGGAGCCCTCATCTCCCAGTATTGCTCACACTCACAGGCTGTCCTGGATGAGAGCCGCCAGCCAAACAGGGCTTGAGAACACTGTGGCTCTTCGGAATGGACATGCATGTGCTGAGGTATCAGCTGCTTACCAGCTTCCCAAGACTCGGTGTGAAAGAAATGGAAATTACCATTAGTAATTTTTATATTGATTACAAGTTGAAATAGCATCTTTTCTTTCTTCCTTTCTTTGTTTCTTTATCAGTACTAGGGATTGAACCCAGGGGTCCTCTACCATTGAACTATATCCCTAGCCCTTTATAGTTTTTATTTTGAGATAGGATCTCACTAAGTTGTCCAGGCTGGCCTCAAACTTGCTATCCTCTTGACTCAGCCTCCTGAGTCACTGGGGTTTCAGGTGTGTATCACCATGCTCATCTCAGCAAGTATTTGTTGACATCTCTATGAGCCAGATATATTCTAGGTACATGAGACACATTAGCGAAGAAAACGCACGTGTTCCCTGTCCTGTGAAACTGATATTTTGGTGGTAGAAGGTAATTACACTGAGTCAGTTATATTGGATGCTAGAACAGTGGTTCTCATCGTAGGGCTATTTTGCCCCTCAACAGACGTTTGGCAATGTCTGGAGTCAGTTTTAGTTATGACACTAGGCAAAAGGTGCTATTGGCATTGAGTGGGGAGAAGCCAATAGATCTGGGCAGGGTAAAGGTGTTGGTGGAGGAATTTGGATCACACAGTGTGATTTGAGGTAGAATGGTTGGGTCTGCTGGGTTGGCCTTGTTGAGAAGGTGACATTTGAGCAGAGGCGTGAAGGAGGAGACTGGTGACACTTGGAGAGCAGATGATGACTGATTGGGCATTTTACTGCACTAGGAAAACTGGTGCAGCCCTCACCTGTGCCTGACTTCTCTACAGCTATGTCACTGTCCATGCTCCTGGCAGAGCCAAACCTGCATGGGGAGCCCATTCCCCTCACTCATTCAAGGCCATGGAGTTCTCTGTGAATCACCCACAACCTTCCTCCACCCTCTTCTTCTCCAGTTGTCATACTTTTCTATTTCCCATTGCTGTGAACGTCACTGGGAGAGTCCTGTGTTAGCCCAGTCTCCAATTACTCTCTTCCCCTTTTTCCTGAGCCCAAGCACATCAGACTTTTTTTTTTTTTTTTTTTTTGTACCAGGGATAGAACTCAGGGGCACTCGACCACTGAGCCACATTCCGAGCCCTGTTTTGTATTTTATTTAGAATCAGGGTCTCATAGAGTTGCTTAGCGCCTCGCTTTTGCTGAGACTGGCTTTGAACTCGCAATCCTCCTGTCTGGGCCCCACAAGCTGCTGGGATTATAGGCATGTGCCCCTGTGCCCAGCCACCCCATCAGACTTTTGCTCCTAAACTATTCTTAATAAGGTCATCAGGGGCTTCCACAGTGCAACTTACTGCTCAGACCTCCAGCAGCAGCTTCTGCCACTGTGGATCACACTTCTGCCTTTGTACTTGGTCTTCTTACGTCCTTCAGGTTTTTACTCAAATCCCCCCTTCTCAGTGAGGCTCTTTTCAGGCATCCTAGCTAAAATTAGAACCTCCCAGGCACTTTTTTTTTTCAGGTTTTATTCACTTTCTTTCCCCCTTTTTTTTTTTAACGTTTATCCTTTATTTATTTATTTCTATGTGGTGCTGAGGATCGAACTCTGGGCTTCGCATGTGCCAGGTGAGTGCTCTGCCACTGAGCCACAACACAGCCCCCTCTTTTCCTTTTTTTGATGTTGGGCATTAAACCCAAGGGCACTTTATCACTGAGTTCCATCCCTAGTCCTTTTTATTTTTGAGACAGGATCTAAGTTGCTTGGGGCCTCTCTAAGTTTCTGAGGCTGGCTTTGAATTTGTGATCCTCCTGCCTCAGCCTCCTGAGTCCCTGGGATTGTAGCTGTGTGCCACTGCACCTGGCTTTGCTTGATTTTTCTTGTATAAATACCCTGTGTTGTAGCCACAGGTGGAGCCTGGATCTTCTGCACAGAGTCTCTGGTATGGATTTTCACAAGGTGATGAATTCCTGATAGGGAGACCTGGTGAACACCGTCTTTTTGCAGAGATTGGGGTTCAGGAGTTATATGTCTTGGAGATGGCATGGAAGCTTGCCTTGGCAAAATTGCCCGAGGTGGCAATGCAGCCCCTGGCAGAAGTGTAGCAGTCATCAATACCAGCAGCAGCAGCAGCTTCTTGGACACAGGGGCTGAGATGATGCCAGTGCCTCTGGGGGCAGGGATGGGACACACCCACACAGAAACACAGTGGCTTGTCACCTGGCAAAGGACAGTTTGGGGCTTGCCCATCTTGTTCCCCAAGTAGCCTCTCTGTACAGGAACAATGGGGAGTTTGGTCAGTATGATGGCCCCTCAGAGAACAGTGGCTACCTTCTTGGAGCACTTAACTCCCAACCCTATTGACCAGTGCAGTCCCAGATAACAACAGATGCTTGGTACCTGGTCCCCTGGCCAGCGCAGGTCTGCTTCTGCACAGGCATGAACTTGAAACTTCATCCTTGGGTGATGCCCTCAGAAAAAAGTCAATGACTTCAGACTCCTTGATGGGCAGAAAGAAGAGCTAGATTTCCATGGACTAGATCTTCAAATCCTTGGCCAGGGATCTCAGCTTGGTGACTAGCATCTACTCCTGATCCTCAGCCTTGCCTCAGCCACAGTTTCAGCCCCAACCCCCGCCTTAGAGGAGGTTGCCAAAGCTTCTGCAGCAGCTGCATCCCCTCAGACTTAGGCCAACGGGGATGGTTGGTCACCCAATTTGCCAGTTTTTCCACCAAAGTACCTTTTCTCTTCCAGGATTCACTCCAAAATACATGGTATTTAGTTGTCTTGTCTCCTTAGTCTCTAATTTACAAGCTTCTGGATCTTTCCTTGTCTTTCATGATCTTGACACTTTTAAGAAGTACCACTAAAGTATTTTTTAGAATCTCCCTCAATTTGAGTTTGCCAGGTATTTTCTCATAATCAGGCTAGAGTTATGATTTTTTAAATTTGAATTAATTTATTACATTTCTTTAAATTTTAATGTTATATATGACAACAGAATGCATTACAATTCATATTACACATACAGAGCACAATTTTTCATAACTCTGGGTGTACTAGAGTCACATCCTTTGTGTCTTCATACATGTACCTAGAGTAATGATGACCATCACACTCCACCATCTTTCTTACCCATATGGCCCCTCCCTTCCCCTCACTCCCTTTTCCCCTTTGTCCCATCTAGAGTTCATTTCATCCTCCCATTCCCCCCTCTGTTATGAATTTTGAGAGGAGAAAATACTACAAATAATAAACAGGACAGGAACTTAATCTGGTTATTCACTACTTTATACCCAGAGCCCAGAGGGAATGCCTGAGTTATTGTAGGACACACATACACATTTGTTAACTGGGCGTGTAATCCTAGCTATTCAAAAGGCTGAGGCAGGAGGATGGCAAATGAGACCAGTCTGGATAACTTAGCTAGACCCTGTTTCAAAAATAAAACAAAATAGAAAGGTATGGAGGTGTAGGGCAGGGGAAGAGTGCCCCTGGTTCAATACCCAGTCTGGAGGGAAAAAATCCATTTCTTGAGTGAATAAACGAATGAATGAATGATGCTGTAGAAACTTTTTAGTATTGTTTTCAATGTCACTAATATAAAATACAGTTCTAGCATGCCTATTGTTCTATAGCTCTTTTCCTGCAATGGTATGCCCTGAAGACCCATGTAGGAAGCTCAGAGCTACCTACTTCACTCTCTTTTTTAAAATTTCTATCCTAATATAAATAACTGCAGAGGTTCTTTCAATGTTCTCTGCCTGTTAGATTTTTCTCATGGTCAGAATGAGGAGAGAATTATTATACACGGAGTAACATGAGACATGCGTTACTGGACATTGCTAAATTTTCAACTACATGGCTGAACACATACACACCCCAGCAGTGTTTAAAAGTACCCGTTTTGCTCACATCTTGCCAACCTACAGCAGCGCAAGCACCCGCTCTGGCACTCTGGTCACGCCGGAGACTACATTTCCCACAAGGCACCGCGTACCCTATTCCTTTCCTGAGCTGCGTGGAAAGAGAAACCAATCCCCGAGGACCGCGGGAAGGTGGTGCCACCTCCCTTCCTACCTGCCTCCCGGATGTCCGGACTAGCGGACTACCTTTCCCACAAGCCACCACGGCCATCCTGGGTGCCACCATTTCAAGACTCGGCGAGGGCGGGGCACAGCCTCGGACTCCACTTCCCGGCAAGTAGTGCGGCCCGAGGGGGCGGGACTCCATTTCCCAGCAGGCTCCTGGCGGCGGGTGCCGCGGTGCCTTGTGTGGGATGTAAGCGCGGAGGTGGGCGCGGGGGACCGAGGCCAGGACTCTCCTTGGGATTTAGGGGGGCTGGCCTGGGAGCGCCTTCCGGAAGACTCTAGGGGCTCGGGGGTACGGTCGCAGGAATGAGGCGGAGCGGCCTTTGGGGGATCTCAGAAAAATCCTTGGATTGCACCCCATCGGGGCTGGGGGTCCCAGGGTTGTAGGGGACGAGGAGGCCCTGCAGCCTTGACTGAGGGGTCTCGCCGACGAAGGAGGGGCAGCTGGTGGAGCGGAGGGTGAAGGGGGCAGAGAAGCAGGGGAGCTGCCGGGGTAGAACCTTAGCCGAGCCTGGGAGGGGGCTCTCCCGCCGAGCCCGACCCTTCCTCCCCTGGCTCCTCCGCAGGCCGCCGCCCGCCGCCATGGGGCTGAAGGCCGCCCAGAAGACGCTGTTCCCGCTGCGCTCCATCGACGATGTGGTGCGCCTGTTTGCTGCCGAGCTGGGCCGAGAAGAGCCAGACCTGGTGCTCCTCTCCTTGGTACTGGGCTTTGTGGAGCATTTTCTGGCTGTCAACCGCGTCATCCCCACCAACGTACCCGAGCTCACCTTCCAGCCCAGTCCTGCGCCCGACCCTCCTGGTGGCCTCACCTACTTCCCGGTGGCCGACCTATCCATCATCGCTGCCCTCTATGCCCGCTTCACTGCCCAGATCCGCGGCGCGGTCGACCTGTCGCTCTACCCGCGAGAGGGGGGCGTCTCCAGCCGGGAACTGGTGAAGAAGGTTTCGGATGTCATATGGAACAGCCTCAGCCGCTCATACTTCAAGGACCGGGCCCACATCCAGTCCCTCTTCAGCTTCATCACAGGTTGGAGCCCGACAGGTGGCCAAGGAGAAAATGAATTTGGTCCACCTCCTCTTAACACTGTGTGGTTTACAGAGCTCTTTTGAGACCTGTAAGCCTTGTGAGGTGGGGCAGGTGTTAATTTTCCCTTGGCAGTTGTGGAAGCTGAAGCTCCAAGAGAGGATATGATGTGCCAAAGTCACAGAATGGCAGGGCTGGGACTGGAACCTGATCAGTTGACTCCACATCCATTTACTGACCCTTGGCCCCTGAGCACTCCCAGCCCTGCCATTGAGCAGCCACGGGAGTCCTACAGCCCAGCATGAGGCACAGAAATGGCCACAGATTGGAGGTGGGAGAGAGAAAAAAGAGGGCTGCTTTGGAGACACTTAAATGGAATGATATCTATAAACCTTTTTGAAAGGGAACAGATTATGAACTTGACCTTAAGAAACTTAAGGCTCAGGGTTTGCAAAGAGTCTGTGCCAAGGCCCATGGATGCAGTTGCATCCTGGTGCCATGTTGAGCAGGAATCAGGTCATTTCTGGGCTTAACAGGAAAAAATGTAGAACTAAATTAGGAATATCTCTTGGTGGGTGTGTGAAGTGTTGTCCAGAGTGCCCTGTTATAATTAATAGGTGTAGTAAAACAGGAAATCTTTAATAAAAACAGTATAGGGTCATAGAGAAAGAGAAGGGACAGGGTCAAAGTGGGTCAAGCTGTGGGAAATCCAGAAAAGTCTCTTGCTGGGGAGGGGGAAGTAAACGGGGAAGGAGAGGCTGTGAAGGAGGGCAGGCATCGAGGAATGAGGGGCAGGAGCACCTCAGGATGGGCACAGGCTGGGGGGCTGTGGGAAGGAGCATCAAGAGCTGGGCTCGTTCTTCCAGACCAAAGCCCAGAGGACTCTTTTTCATTACTGTCCCCTTCCACAGGTACTAAACTGGACAGCTCAGGTGTGGCTTTTGCAGTGGTGGGGGCCTGCCAGGCCCTGGGTCTCCGGGATGTCCACCTGGCCCTGTCTGAGGATCACGCCTGGGTAGTGTTTGGGCCCAATGGGGAACAGACAGCCGAAGTCACCTGGCATGGCAAAGGCAACGAGGACCGCAGGGGCCAGACAGTCAACGCGGGTGTGGCAGAGCGGGTATTGTACCCCCCACCTTGTCTCCTTTGTTCTCTGCTAGATTAAGCCATCCAAGGATTACACTTTGGGCTATACTCCCCTCTTCCCGTCACCACCTACATAGGGTCCCCAAAGCAGGCACAGGGTAGGCCATCATGAGACATCCAGTCTTGTCCCCTTTCAAGAGCTGGCTGTACCTGAAAGGATCATACATGCGCTGCGACCGCAAGATGGAAGTAGCCTTCATGGTTTGCGCCATCAACCCTTCCATTGACCTGCACACCGACTCCCTGGAGCTGCTGCAACTGCAGCAGGTAAAGGGTATGCCCAAGGGGCAGCCACGGACAAGGCTGGGCCGCTGTGGGGTCAGGGGTACTTTCCCTCCCGGAGCCTCAACTCTTTTGTAAGATGGGTGAATGATTCGCCATTCCCAGGGCTCTTGGGAGAGTGAAATTGAGACGTGAAGGGGCTTTGACTCTGTTAAAGGGCTGGTTTGTGAATTTTGCCCTTTCCTACCTGGTGGGAGGTCCCTGCTGGTTCTGGATCACACCTTGACCTTGCCTGATAGGCAGCTCCCCTTCCCACAGTTTGTAACTCTTCTTTGGCCCCTAGAAGCTGCTGTGGCTGCTCTATGACCTGGGACATCTGGAAAGGTCAGTAGGGGGAAGTGGCCAGATTGAGCCTTGGTGGGGCCAGAGGGCTGGGTGGTAGCCTGGATTTCTGATCCTTTCCTAGGTACCCCATGGCACTAGGGAACCTGGCAGATCTGGAGGAGCTGGAGCCCACCCCTGGCCGGCCAGACCCACTCACCCTCTACCACAAGGTGAGGGCATCTCAAGATGGGGCATAAGGGAGGCCCCAGAAATGACTGGGGTCCCCTTCTTTCTGGGGACAGGGAAGATTCATGAAAGAACTTCGTGAATTCAGGAGTATTGCCCACCTAGGTCCCACTTTGTACCAACCATGTACGTAATTGGCGTAATTAGGGTTGTCTGAGGTGTGCCCTGAGATGTGTTCCCCAGCTTATGACTGACAGAAGTTGGGTTGTTCGGGGAACTCTGCATTTTCTGCTGCCCCTCATTGTTCTTCCTGTGTCCTGTAGCAAAGGTCAAATGTGGTGGGAGCATTGGGGAGGGGAGGTGGGGCAGGGGTTCACTGGCCTTAGAAGTCTGATGTTTTGTGTAGAAGAGTGTGTAGGAAAGGCCTGTCCTAGGTCCTACTCTTCCCCTCCCCAACCCTTGTTTTGTGGGGGTCCCCACTCTGCAGTCTGCCCCAGACTGGCAGGCAGGGAGTGGAGGTAAGGTTGGACTTGAGGAGGACTCGAGATCTTCCTTTCACCCCTTCTGGGTGTGACCTGATGGGGCGCTCATGCCAGCCCAGGCAGCTGGTGGCTGCTTCCCTGAGGCTTTTCTGCCCCATCCCCCAGGGCATTGCCTCAGCCAAGACCTACTACCGGGATGAGCACATCTACCCCTACATGTACCTGGCTGGCTATCACTGTCGAAACCGCAATGTGCGCGAAGCCCTGCAGGCCTGGGCAGACACGGCCACTGTCATCCAGGAGTGAGGATCCCCCCAGTAGGGCCCCCAGCCCATCCTTTACTCTTCCTCCACTCAGTTTCCAGTCACTCTTATCCAGGCATGAGATCTGAGTCCCAAGCACTGTCCCCTCTCCATCCAGTCCCTAGGCAGCCAGTGCCATCATCACTCAGGAGGTAGGGATCTCAGAGCCCCTCCCTCCCCCTTCTGCCCAGTTGTTGATCATCCAGGGACCCACCCCTAGCTGCATGCCCCTCCTCACTTTTGCCCTGGGCTGACAGATTCCATCACGTGGGGGGAATCATTCATTCGTTCAGTCTGTGGATGACCCTGGAAGAGTCCTGGACTGCATCCTCCACCAGCTCCCTAGGGGTTCCCATGGCTGAGCCCCCACATGCCCCACTGCTCTCACAGCTACAACTACTGCCGGGAGGATGAGGAAATCTACAAGGAGTTCTTTGAGGTGGCCAATGATGTCATCCCCAACCTGCTGAAGGAGGCGGCCAGCTTGCTGGAGGCTGGCGAGGAGCGGCCAGGGGAGCAGAGCCAGGTGAAAAGGCTGGAACTCACCAGTATCCACCCTCCCATCATTGCAGTGCCCCAGCCATGGGACTGCATAGGCAGAACTGGGGTCTGGGCACTGAAGGTGGCCCAGAGAAGAGGCCTCTATTCCCTTTTGCTGTAGCTGAGGTCCTGGGTCTGGGCTTGAGGGAACCAAGGTGTTTCACAAGTTTCTACCCTGTAGGCGGAAGCCTGTCTCTTTTATGGCCAGGGTCTCACTTAGGGTAGGATGGAGATAAGGGATGGTGCCCTTTCCTCCATCCTGGCTGAGGACTGGCTTTATTTTAGGAAGGAAGTTCTAAGATACTCCTGACCCTGGCTTACCTTTGCAGCCATGGCTCTGCCTAGGCGCTGTCTTGACCTGCACCTTGTGCTAACAGAGTTTGACTGTGACCTTTCTTCCCCTTGCCTAGGGTACCCAGAGCCAGGGTTCTGCTCTCCAGGACCCTGAGTGCTTCGCCCACCTGTTGCGATTCTATGATGGCATCTGCAAATGGGAGGAGGGCAGCCCCACGCCTGTGCTGCATGTGGGCTGGGCCACCTTCCTTGTGCAGTCCTTGGGTCGCTTCGAGGGACAGGTGAGGGTGACTGGGCGTTATAGGGACTGACTGCAGCCATGGGGAGTTAGACCTTTGTGGCCCAGAGGCCACACCTCCCCAGCCATCTGGGTGTAGATGAGACTAAGACCTGCAGATGGCTTGGCAGAAGTTGGACCTTGGTATTCCAGCCAGTGGTCTTCAGCTTTCCCCCAGCTTGCTCTCTTCACCCACCCAGGTCCGGCAGAAGGTGCACATAGTGAGCCGAGATGCGGAGGCAGCGGAGGCTGAGGAGCCATGGGGTGAGGAAGCCAGAGAAGGCCGGCGGCGGGGCCCCCGGCGGGAGTCTAAGCCCGAGGAACCACCACCGCCCAAGAAGCCTGCTCTGGACAAAGGCCCTGGCTCAGGCCAGGGTGCAGGGTCGGGACCTCCCCGAAAGCCCCCAGGTACAGTCCCCAGCACTGCGCGGGGTCCTGAAGGTGGCAGCGCAGCTCAGGGGTCAACTCTCCCGTCGTCACCCCCGCCGGAGGGCCCAGTGCTCACTTTCCAGAGCGAGAAGATGAAGGGCATGAAGGAGCTGCTCGTGGCCACCAAAATCAATTCGAGTGCCATCAAGCTGCAACTCACAGCGCAGTCACAAGTGCAGATGAAGAAGCAGAAGGTGTCCACACCCAGCGATTACACTCTTTCTTTCCTCAAGCGGCAGCGCAAGGGCCTCTGAACTGCTGGGGACTTCTGAACAGCTCACAGGGACCCAGGCCCCATCCTCAGTCTGAGGGGAGACTTCCCCATCCCCACACCCAGAGGCCAGGCTCCGCCCCCAGGCCTCACCCCTACCTGAAACTTAAGGTCCCAGATTTACAGACTACACACCCCGGCACCAAATCTATGATTTGCTCCAGCTCGCAACCCAGGACCCTGGCCTGGTGGTTAGAATGTAGGTCCCATCTTCCAGAATCCCAGCTGGCCAACTGGAATCCTGGCCCCATCTCTGAACTGAAGTGCTGACCCTAAGCCAGACAGTGTTGCTCAGGGTTTCTCCCACTTCCCTTAGCCCAAGGAGCACATATCCTGCCTCCACCCTGGGACGAAGGACCCTACTCAGCCCCTGGGAATACGTTTCTGTACTTCAAAACTCCATCCCTTGGGAATTCAAATCCTCAACCCCGAAGAGCTTAAGTCCCTTTGCTAGAATTTGGGAATCCTATTATCCTCCCCTCCCTGTCCCTAGAGTCCACGAAGCTCCACCCCTAGCTTGTGTGGACACTGAGCCCCGCCCTCTTCCTGACCAAACTGGCCCTAGATCAGAGCAGGACCTCTTCCGACCCTCTGGGAACCTCCCTAAGGTTCAGTCTATCTCTGGGGAACCAGGAGGAAATCTGCAGGGGGTTGGGAGTGGGTGAAGGGGGCCTGATCTCTTCCTGTTTTGTACATAGATCTATTTTTCAGTTCCAAGGAAGATGAATACATTTTGTTAAAAAAAACACGTGTCAGTGTTGCATCTGGGAAATTGGGGATGGGCCGGGAGGTGGGACGGCCCGTCTTTCCTCTGCCTTCTTCTGGCTCTGGACTTTGCGTTCCCACCTGTAGAGCGCGAGAAACCGGTGCCTGGAAAGGACCCAAGCTCCGCCCGGGTCTCGGGACTTCCCCGCGCTGCCAGGGCCTGTCCCGCGGGCGCCTCCTCCCGGCCGGGCGGCGGGGCATCCCTGGCATGGCCCCGCCCCTGGGCCCCGGCCCCGCCCCCGCGGCCTCGGAGCCACCGGCGCCCGCCCCGCCCCGCCCCGCGCCGCCCCGCGCCGGCTCCGCAGCTCGCGCCCTCCGGGCGCCGGGCCATGGCGCTGCTGCGGGATGTGTCGCTGCAGGATCCGCGGGACCGCTTCGAGCTGCTGCAACGCGTGGGGGCCGGGACCTATGGCGACGTGTACAAGGTGCGCCGGGCGGCAGAACGGGCGGGAGCGCGGGGAGGGGGGTGCCCGCTCCCGCGGACGCCAGCCCCCAGCCCCGCCCCCTCCCATCCCGCTTCTTCCCCTCCGCCGGCAGGCCCGCGACACCGTCACGTCGGAACTGGCCGCCGTGAAGATCGTCAAGCTAGACCCAGGTGAGGGCCCGGGCGGGGCCTCTGCGCTGGAGAGAGGCCGGGCGCGGGCGGGGGCGAAGAGTTGACATTTCTAGACCCCCTGAGAGGCAGGCTCCAGGAGGAGCTGTGGCCTGGCACCTGTCTGGCCGAGGAACAGGCACTCTGCCCATTTTGCAGATGGGGACACTAAGTCAGGGCGACCCTTACCCACCACCCCATGATGCCTTGTGCTCCTCAGGGGACGACATCAGTTCCCTCCAGCAGGAAATCACCATCCTTCGTGAGTGCCGCCACCCCAATGTGGTGGCCTACATTGGCAGCTACCTCAGGTGAGGTTGCTTTATCCTCTGCCCCAGGCAGCCCCCATATGGCCTGCTGTGTGCCCACCCCCAGCTCTGTGTCCCCCCAGGAATGACCGCTTGTGGATCTGCATGGAGTTCTGCGGAGGGGGGTCTCTGCAGGAGATTTACCACGGTGAGGGCCAGGCTCTAGGCTTCAAAGGGCCATGGCCTTCCCCCCACCCCAATATGGGGGAAAGAGAGGGAGTCCAAGATGGACTTGGGCTCCTCTTCACTCCTGACTGGCTGTGTGACCTTGAGAGAAATGCTCTCCTTCTCTGGGCTCAGAATCCCAGACTGTGCTGGGAGGGGATGTGGCTACTACCTCTTGACATAGTGGTGCTTGGTGAAAGCACTGGGTAGTTGGGAGGGTTGCATATCCTGGAGACTCCTGTGTCAGCCCCTCGCCCTTTCCATTTCAGCCACTGGGCCCCTAGAAGAACGGCAGATTGCATATGTCTGCCGAGAGGCACTGAAGGTAGCTATGCCCGTGAGCTACCCACACTCCGTGGAGCCAGCTGACCAGTGGTGGGAGGGTAGAGTGCCTCAGGCAGGGCTGGCCCCAGGGTCTGTGGGTCCTGGAGGGAAGGGGCCTCAGGCCTGTTGCCGGAAGCAGCCCATTTCCCTCTTGGCTCAGTCACTTCCTGTTTGGGGAGTGGGGAGGAGGAAGCGGCTTGGGTGGGGGGCCCAGTCCTGAAAAGGGGCGGAGGGGAGGGGAGAGTACTAGGGGGCTGCCCTCAGGGATGCCTCTTTGTCCCCAGGGACTCCACCACTTGCATTCTCAGGGGAAGATCCACAGAGACATCAAGGTAGGAGTGGACCGAAGGCATGGTGAGGGGGGAGGAGGCGGCCTTGGGGACACCAGACGACGGGATTCTCTCTCCTCCATCCCCACAGGGAGCCAACCTTCTCCTCACTCTCCAGGGAGATGTCAAGCTGGGTCAGTACCGGGAATGCAGTCAGGGTGAGGGTTCAGTGGGAGCCCTGGAAACCACAGGTGCCGGGTTACCGGGGGCAAGCCACTTTACTGCTTGGGCCTCAGTTTCCCCGCTTAGAAACGCAGCAGCACTTCCTACTTGCTGGAAGTTGGATGAGGTTGGTCTCGGTGGAGGCTGAGGCGGGACCAGGCACTCAGTCAGGGATAGAGGGTACCCAGCCCCTCCAAGGGACCTGCCTGGCCTCAGGCCTGTGGCAGCTGTGGCTGGACCTGGGCCACCTGCCCATCTGAGCCTGAGCCCTGGGGTGGCTGGCAAGTGGGACAGAGGCTGGGAGAGCAGCTGTTCTTCCTTGCAGCTGACTTCGGGGTGTCGGGCGAGCTGACGGCATCTGTGGCCAAGAGGAAGTCTTTCATTGGGACTCCATACTGGTGAGGCTGTACCCCGGGCAGAAGGCTGGGCTGTACCCTGGGCAGAAGGGTGGGCACCTGGCCATGCCATCTGTGCTCTCCTCTAGGATGGCTCCGGAGGTGGCAGCGGTGGAGCGCAAGGGTGGCTACAATGAGCTGTGTGATGTCTGGGCCCTGGGCATCACTGCCATTGAGCTGGGCGAGCTGCAGCCACCCCTCTTCCATCTGCACCCCATGAGGTCAGCCTCATACCTGCCCCTCGCCTGCCCCTTGCTCTGCTGACCCTTGACCCTGACCTCCCATCTTCCACAGGGCCTTGATGCTCATGTCAAAGAGCAGCTTTCAGCCACCCAAACTGAGAGACAAGACACGCTGGTGAGGACCCTCCTCTCCCCGCTGCTGGGACCCCTGACTCCCAGGGCAGGCATGGAGTCAAGAGCCCTGCTTTTCAGGCCCCCACAGACCATTTGAGTGATGGTCTGGGCAAGGGGGACCGGTGTGGACAGGAAAGAAGGGCAGATGACTGGGCTGGAGTTGCTGCCATATCACAACAGCCATGTTGACAGGCAGCTCCCTCCTGGGCGGGCCGTCAGTCCTGGGCTGGCAGGACAGCTGGCAGGATGCCCGACCCGAGGCCTAACCTGGGCTGGGGCGGTGGCTCTTGTGCCCACCAGGACCCAGAATTTCCACCACTTCCTCAAACTGGCCTTAACCAAGAACCCCAAGAAGAGGCCAACGGCTGAGAAACTTCTGCAGGTAGGAGAAGGGGACGGTTCTGGGGCCTGATGCTTCAAAGCCGGGCCTGCTTGACAGGGCCCAGTCTGATCACCCCTCCATCCTCCAGCACCCATTCACAACCCAGCACCTCCCACGGGCCCTCCTCACACAGCTCCTGGACAAGGCCAGTGACCCCCACCTGGGAACCCCCTCCCCTGAGGACTGTGAGCTGGAGGTAAGTTGAGAGAATGCTGGGAAATGGGCTTTGGCCTGCCCAGGTAAGGAGGAGGTACCCAAGGTGATATCGTCAAGGTCCCTGTAAGTTGCCTAGTTCCAGCACAGAGAGCCTCCCTTCAGCTGAGCCTGCCCATCAGGAATCATTCCCGGCTGGGTCTGGCTTCCCTTTAATAACCACTTGATAAGTTCCTGCCTTGGGCCCAAACTGACCATGACCGTGACTAAGCCTTCTTGCTTTATGTGTGATCCTTGGCAAGTTACTTGACCTCTTTGTGCCAGTTTTCCCATCTGGGAAATGGGGATGCTGTTTTACCTCATAGGAACCTCAGTGGATTGTGGGGAAATAAAGCACACCCATGGTATAAAGAACCTGGAAGACTTCCTGGCAGCGGGTGAGGCCCCCAGGTGTCCATCATGCTTGTTCTTTTTTAGACCTACGACATGTTCCCAGACACCATCCACTCCCGGGGGCAGCACGGCCCTGCTGAGAGGACCCCCTCCGAGATCCAGTGTGAGTCCTCTGGCAGGGAGACATGGCTCAGATTAGGTGTGGGGGGCTCAGTCCTAAGCTGTGCCCCTCACCCTGTACTCTGGGCCCCCCAGTTCACCAGGTGAAATTTGGCGCCCCACGCAGGAAGGAGACGGACCCCCTGAATGAGCCGGTGAGGGGTGGCTGCGGGAGGGGGACAGCTGGGGGGGGGGGGGGGGCCGACTAGGCTGAGCACCTCAGCAGGGCCCCAGGGGCCAGGGGCTTCTTCTGGGGCCAAGTTCTTTGCTCAGTGGGCTGGAGTGTGGCAAGATGACCATACCTGTCTGAAAAGGGGCCTGTCACAGAGCCGACCCCCGTGCTACCTGCCCCTGTCAAGCCACGCTTCCCAGCATCTGTCACTGATGTGTCACTGAGGTCTCTGCTGTCTGTCTCCGTCACCATCAGAAGCTGTCTTGCATCTAGTGGCCCTCCCTAAGCCATCCTCTGCATGTCTGTCCCTTTCTCCTTCCTGTTTGTCACACTCACCATCTCAGGCCCTCTGTCTCTTGCCTGCTATGTTTGCACTTTCCATCTGTCTGTCGTCTGTCCGGCAGTGTCTTGATCACTCTCTGCCTCTCTCCCTCCGCCTGCCCCATCTCTCTGACGCGGTTTCCCCCAGTGGGAGGAAGAGTGGACGCTGCTGGGAAAGGAGGAGCTGAGTGGGTGAGTGACGGAGGGGAAGTCACGGGGTGGGGGGTGGGGACAGCGGTGAGGCTGACCTCTGACCCCTCTCCCTCCACCAGGAGCCTGCTGCAGTCAGTCCAGGAGGCCCTGGAGGAAAGGTGAGGGGCTGGTGGCCCCTAGTGGTCTCCCTCCAGATCCGCCTAGTCCTGGTTGCTAACCTCGGGTGGGCAGGGCAGGGACAGCCAGGCCCGTCTCACACTCGCTGCTCTTTGCTTTGTCTCTGCAGAAGCCTGACCATTCGGCCAGCCTCTGAGCTCCAGGTGCGGAGTGGTGGGAGAAGGGCTGGGGAGTGGGAGAGTGTGCAGAGGGGTGGTTGGGCTGGGGCAGGGTCATCTACTAACAGCCGGCTGGGGCCTCTTGCCAGGAGCTGGACTCCCCAGATAATGCCATGGGAACCATCAAGCGGGCTCCATTCTTGGGGCTGCCCCCCACTGAGCCCACAGTTGAGGCCCCTCTGCCCAGCCCCCCAGGTGAGTCCTGGGCTCTGGAGGCCAAGGAGGCAGAGGCAGGCCCAGGGCGAGGGTAAGGGCTGGAAATCACTGTGGCCTGTG